GAGCTTGATGTCCCCTGTGACTATGGTCCGAAGCCCACAGGTTCAACTACTCGGTCCCTCTGGGGAGCTGGCTTGTGACCAAGCAGTGACCACAGCCTTGCCCCTTGTCAGCTCTACTATACACCTGGGAATTCTGATCATTCACATAAACTTGTAGGACCATTGTCTGCCAACCCTATAAAAAACAACTTAAATCTACTTGCTTAGAAAGATCTTTATTATTGATGTTTATAACTTGTAGAAATAGTTTTAAGGTTTTTTTTTCTTTTTAAAAAATAAACTGAAGTATTAATAAAAAGTTTTAAATTCCATTATTGAGTATTCAAATACTTCCCCTTACACTGAAATTCTTACCTGGAGGACATTTTGGTTAGTGATATCTTCACAGTCAACAGACTGGTTGCATGCAGCTTTCCACCCTGGTGCAAAAGGATTAACTGGAAAAGGAAAAAAAAATGGCAGGTTCAGAAAGACATTCTAAGATGTTCTAAACATTTTAATAAAGTTGTAAACTCTGAGTTCAGTATGTAAGTGTGCATGTATTTATCTAACTCTGGTAATGAAGTTAAGGTATACAACTTGAATAATTTATACATTATGATTTCACTCCATCTGGGGGCTAAGGGAAGTAACTACAACACTTTAAGATAAATAGAAATAAATTGTTTGGTTCCTCCCTCTTACTAAGCTTTAAGAAATACAACTTAAAATTGTATAAGAAATTAAAAGTGAAATATTAGCTGCATAGTCAAAAACTATTTTCTATAAAATGATGTTGACTCCTAAAAGATAAGCAACAATATATTGTATCTGAAAGTAAATAATGTGTTAATTTTTAAAAGCATAACCAGGCTAAGACAAATAATGTATTTTAGTGTTTAACAAACATTTCAGGTCTACTACATGAAAGATCTCTCACATTAATATGGTAATTAATTTTGTAATCTATGATGGTTCAAAACTACACTTATAAAATTAAAAAAATATTTAAAAATATTTTTACCTTGAAAGGCTATAAATAGCTCATGTATGAGGCCATGTTTTGGAATTTTAACAAAATGACATTTATATGATGGTTCTATGACATGGCATGTCAAATCAGAGATTAAATTATCCAAGATTTTCTTCAGCACTCTAAAAAGCAGGTCATTGTACCTTCCTACACAAGACTTTGTGGTAAAACGTACAGCCATTTGATATGAATAATCAGGCTCCCGATAGGCTTCAAAAAACAAGACGAGATTAAGAGTAATTGAGCTTAGCATAATTTCTCCTACTAATTTTCAACTAACACATAATATTAAATCTCACCAATCTTGCTAGTCAGTATAGAAACCTTAACTTATGTAATAAAATGTTTTATCAGTTTATCTCTACAAACACATATACAATTAGTAACTTAAATGAAAAATATTATTTTCATCTGATACATTATCTACTCAGACAAGACAGGAAATGGCTTCTGTAGGCTGGCTATACAGGTAACAGTGTCCAAAAAAAAAAAAAAATTGGGGGGGGTTATTAATTTGCAGAAAATGTCATTGCTGTCACCAAAATTATAGTGAAAATATCATTGATTTGATTTAAAAAAAAAACTGTGATTTGGGTGATAGTTTACAGAGTAAATTCATTTTCCATACCATTTTGTTTCATGACATTGACTGCAATTCCCCACAAGATAACAGCTCTCTTCCCACTTCCTCCCCGTAGTTACCTCTTCTGTGTCCTTTCCCCCATGCACTACCACCCCGCCCCCAGCTATCTTCCTTTGCAAACAATGCCCTTCAGTTCTCCCATAATCCATCACTAGAAGGAGTGTATCCACCTGATGCAAATGTTCACCCCTGGCTTTTGTTTGGCTGGAAGCCACAGGAGTGAGTTCAGTTCTAGACCTGAAGAGTATCTAGGGGTCATAAGTTCTAGACCTGAAGAGCATCTAGGGGTCATAGTCTCGGGGGTCTCCCCAGGCTCTATCAGACCAGCAAACCTGGTCTTTTTTTTTTTTTTCATGATTTTGGTCCACATTGTTCTGCCACTCTATGCAGGATCTCCTGCCCCGATCCTCAAGTGGTTGACAGTGGTAACCGAGCACCATCTAGATCTTCCTATCTCATGGTCACATAGGCTAAGGATTGCATGGTCTACTAGTCCCTTGGATTGTTTCCATGCTCTTTCGTTTTCTTCATTCTTCTTTGCTCTGGACAAGGAGAGACCCATCGTTGCATATAGATGGCCACTTGCAAGCTTTAAAGACCCCAGCTGCTACTCACCAAAGTAGGATTTAGAACAATGTTTTTGTGTAGTATATTAAGCCAATTGAGCTTGAACTAATTTGCTTTTATGAAATTAAACAGGGCCTATTAAATATTGGAGGCCTGGTGGTGCAGTGGTTAATGCATTCAGCTGCCAACCATAAGGTCAGTGGTTTGAACCCACTCCACTCCTTGGAAGGAAGGTTGGGCAATCCTACTTCCGTAGTGATACTGCCTCGGAAACCCAAGGAGGGGTCGCTATGAGTCGGGAGCGACTCGACGGCAAATAACAACAACAACAGTCACTCTGCAGGAGAAAGATGAGGTAGCCTTAGAAACTCCTTGGGGCAGTTCTACTCTGTCCTGTAATGCCATTATGAAGTTGGCAACAACTTGATGGCAGTGGGTTTTTGGCTGGTAGTGAAAGTGGTTAAGCACTTGGCTGTTAACCAAAAGGTTGTCTGTTCAACCCACCAGCTGCTCCTTGGGAGAAAGAAGTGGCAGTCCGCTTCCATAAAGATTACAGCCTTGGCAATCCTATGAGGCAGTTCTTCTCTGTCCTATAGGGTCATTATGAGTTAGAATCAACTTGGCTGCAATGGTTTGAGATTTTTGGTTTTATTAAACATTAGTTTTTTAATTACATAGCAAAACTATAATAAAGTAGAACATGCTTGCATACCTAGACACAGGAAGTAGAGGGCTGAAAAAGGATTATTTAGGACACACTATCTTCATGTCAAGGAGCCCTGGTGGTACAGTGGTTAAGCACTTGGCTGCCAACCAAAGGTTGGTGGTTTGAACCCACCAGCCACTCCACGGGAGAAAGATGTGTCAATCTATTTTGTAAAGATTACAGCTTTGGAAACCCTATGGAGCATTTCTACTCTGTCCTATAAGGTCACTACGAGTTGGAATTGACTCAAAGGCAATGGGTTTGTTTTTATTTATTTATTTTAATATCAATTTAAGAGTTTGACTGATCAAATACACCCAAAATACTCTATAAGTCATAATAATTTTATATAACAGACTCATTCTCACTAAATGAGGAAATGATGTAATTTTATATATTTTCACTGTTACAAAATAAAATAATGTATAATCACATTATATAACAAAATTAAATTAAGAAATACACTTCTCATCATTTTTCCCAGATACACTCTTGATTAGTTCTTTGGATACATTTAACCCTGATCCAAACTAAATTCAACCATTAAAATGTTTATATTCTTACCAAACATTATAAATTCATATCTCTTCTTTATAGTCTTTTCTTCTTGAGTTTCCGCTTGGACAGATTGATAAGAAAAAGTACATGTGTAAGGTCCAGACAAAGACTCCAGAAAATCTTTTACCATCAGCTTTCCTGTGTCAGTTATATTTATTCGATTGCTTCCTGAACAGAAATATTGTAAACTACTTGGTTATTTAAAATATAACAATTCAAATATTATTTCGTAAACATGGGATTATAACATAATACAAAAAAAATGGACAATTTTAACTCAAAATATGTAACAATATTTTAATTCTGTCATACTACTCTATGGAAAACCACATGAGATAAGTACACTTTTGAGAGATATACTAGTTTTCTTTAATTCATTTATTTTGACATCTACTTTTGACTGTTTATGTCAGAAATTCAGGAAATTAGATTACACTGCATGGTACTCACCAACCCACTGCCACTGAGTTGATTCTAACTCATAGGAACCCTATAGGACAGAGTTGAACTGCCCCACAGGGTTTCCAAGGCTGTCTGTTTTTACAGGAGCAGAATGGCTCATCTTTCTCCCAAGGAGTGGCTGGTGGGTTTGCACTGTCAACCTTCTGTTTAGTAGGTAAATGCTATCACCACTGTATCACTAAGGCTCCTATCACTGCCCATTAATAGTACTATAAAATTTCTTCACATGACAGAAATAATAATGCTTACATTCCAAGACACTAGTCTAACATCATGAAAAATTACTTATTAGATACCTCATCTACTATTACAGGTGCTACAAGCATAAATTATAGGTTTTTATAAAAACACTGAACTAATACAGCTCTGGGAAATAGGCAAAAATGATCACATTTGTTTTTGTCTCAAAACAGAGTAAGGGGCAAAGATACAACATGATTTGTCTAAGCCTGAAACAAGTGAAACTTCAGTTAAAATGAATTTTCAATTTGTTCTTTCCAATAAACTAAAGAGCTTAAAAGTTCAGCATTAAAAATGAAGATGATAAAAACAAAATAATTTACCCGTTAATTTCTTATCATTAGGTCCAATCCATAGATACGTGGGGTCCACTGTTTCTTTTTTAGCAAGTTTAAAATCCATACAGACAAGGACTGGACTATTTTGATGTAATTTTACATATATTTTCACTGTTACAAAATAAAATAATGTATAATCACATTATATAACAAAATTAAATTAAGAAATACACTTCTCATCATTTTTCCCAGATACACTCTTGATTAGTTCTTTGGATACTACTGTTTTAAAAATCAGCTCTATCATTATCATTTAGAATGACAGTCAAAAGTCATTTTTGCTCCTCATAGCAAGTTTGAAAAACTCTAGACTGCTAGAGAATCATGCTACTTTTCTTTTCACTGTGACATTATAGTTTTAATTTTGTTTATAAAAATATACATGATACATTTAGAAGTTCACTTTAATGTGGATTCAGAACGCACTCAAATCAATTTTTTGAAGGGTTGGTGGAAGGACCTCTGGAGGTGTAGTGCCTGAGACACTTGACTGCAACTAGAAGGCTGGCAGTTCAAACCCATCAGCCACTCCTTGGAAGCAAGATGGGCAATCTACTTCCATAGTGATACTGCCTCAGAAACCCAAGGAGGGGTCAGGATGGCACACAAGTGGAATCCATGTAAAGAGGATCAGAAAAGAATGTGGGCTTGTCGTTTGCAAAACTATTTTAAAGATGGCCATCGTCATCCCTCGGGGGAACTTGATATTTAACTATAAATTTCTTCTTTTCCAGTAATTATGTCTATATGGGGGCATAATAGAAGATTTTTAGTCATTTTCTACAATTACCTATATTCTATTACAGATTTGGTGGAAGCAGCAGGAGTGTGTTCAGAACCAATGCAGTCCAACAAGACACTAATTTCAAAGCCTACAGAATGCCAGACTGTGCATATAAGGACACCGTCCTACAATCTAGTAGGAAAGCAAACATAGAGGAAATACCAATCACGAAAAATGCTATGAACTGGCTCAACGTTATCTAAGAGCACAGCTGGGTGACGAACTTTCCTTGGGGAATGTGGGAAAGTTTCTTTCACTTAAATGATAAATGATATCTGACCAGAGCCTTAGAGGATAAGGAGGAATTCCTGCAGTTAATAAGGGGAGGGACAAGGGCGTTCCAGAGGACCTGCCAGCCCTGGAAATCACTCCTCTGAACTTGGCCTCGCATGCTGCAGAGCAATAATGAAACCTGGAAGTGAAGTGGCATCTGTGAAAAAGATCTGGAATAAATCCCAGCTCCTTAGGAGCTGTGCGGCTTTAGGCAAGGTGGTACAACTAAGGCGAAAGGTCGCTGTAAGGATGACACGAGGCAACTTCGTGAACCGCGGAGGGTACAGTAGCTGTTAAAAAAATGATCGCTCCCTTTCTCTTGGCGGGAAGGACCTTAGCAGGCACAGGGCACCCTTGGCTCTTCCGATGTGCATGTGAAGAGGTCCTTATTACCTGGGTGTTCTGGCGTGCCATAAATGAAGCCTTTCTTATTCTGTAAGGCAGAACGCTGCCATCCAGCTGCGGAGGAAAGAAACCACTGACATTTTAGGCAGAAGAGGAGCCCGGGCTCAGAGCTAGGCAGGGCAGGACAACGTAGAGGAAGCATGACGGGGAACCAAGGGAAGAATGGAGAGGGTTGGGGGTCGGGCGGGAGGAGCCCCACCTCTAGGGAGGTACCAGAGCACCGCGGAGAGTAGGACCCACGCTCGTATCATGGCTCAGGGGCTAGCGTTGCGGGAGGCGTCGAGGGGTGGGCGCCTTCCTACCTCAGCCCCGGCCCAACGCCTCCCCATTTCTCCTCCACAGAGCGAAGAAAACTGACCCGGTCAACCGCCCCTACCCGTCAGTAGCTACCGTGGAAGACGACGCGCTGGAGAGCGCATGCGTGCTCCGAGGGCTCGCGTGCAGGGAAGTGCACGCTGCGCAGGGCGGGCTTATGAGCGGGGGCGGGGCGCGGACGGGGCCGATGACCTCCAGGTGAGAGCGCGAGAAGCGAGTGCCCCGCCCCCTCGCGTTCACCAGACAGCGGTCGTGCTGCAGCTTCGCACCTCCCGCTTGGCGCCATTTTCCTGAGCCCTTGCCACTATGGTTTTGTGAGCCAGTTGTTAGTTGTCTGAGGGACAAACACAGGAAAGGAAGATAACACGAGGCTTCGCGTTTCAGGGACTTCGTTAGTCTAGGGGATAAAGGGATCTTCAAGAGGAGCACCGTGAGTCTCAAGTAGGGCGGTGGGCAAGGGGGATGTGATTACATCAGGCTGGAGGAGGGGAGAAGCTTGTGAGAATTTCCAGAATTGAAACAGAGATTCTTGCGTGGGATTTTCTATGCCTTTTTTTTACCCCCACATGAACTCTGTTTGAAACTCTGCCCGATATTTTTGGAACTCTCACACCCAATTTTTATCTAACAGTTATTCAACCCACAAAACCCAAAATCTCAAGAACCCCTAGTGCTCTAACAAGGCATCTCCAGGTCTTCCTACCTTAGAGGAACATTTAATCTTCATTTTCAACTTCAAAAATGAGACAATGTTGAAAGACTCCTATGCGAAATTATCTAGGGTTGTGAAGTAAGCTTGCTTGAAAAGATAGGCCCAATTGAGAGCTAAGACCCTAGGATTTGCTGTTCCTGTAGAGAAGGACGATTAGCTAAGATCAGAAAGCTCCAAGACATCATGCTCCTGTCTTTAGTGATTCTTTGGCTACTAGTTTGGTAGCCTAAAACTCCCAATGAATGAGTTGTCTCGTTCTTAGCAAAGGGACACCCTAAATCATCGTTTTGAGTAGGATGGTACGTAGAGAGCCTAAGGTTGAGACAGAGTGAAACCAGAATGATTATTTGGGGTGACATCAAGGATTTTCAGTTTTATTTGCTTTGACCCAAGTCTGTACTTGGACTATCTGAGGTGGTCCAGGAACAGCCCTTGTCAGTGATTTCATTTTCAGTCATTGTTAATTTTATCTATCTGGCATAAGCTTCCAAAGGGGATTCGGTGAGTCAGATTCATCCATCGTGGGCTACTGTGTCTAGGTTCATGGTTTAGTTTCAACTGTTCTTAAGGGAACATATAATGAAGACAAATTTAGGCAATATCTTCCTTTCTCTTAAAAGCTTGTCATTCCAGTGTTACTCAGAGTACATTATATGTTCACAATGTGTTTAATTAGCTTCCTAGTTATTATAAGTAATTAATCTTTGTAAATCCTGTGTAATAAACTTCAAATCCTATGAGAAAAGACTTGACCAAATGAGTGGTAGTTGTGGAAAGTAGAGCTCCTGTGTTACCCATCCACTTTTTAAAAATAAACTGTTTTAGAACATTTTTAGATTTACAGAAAAATCTCAAGAGTACAGAGAGTTCTCATAAACCCCACATGCAGTTTTCCCTGTTATTGACATCTTACATTAGTATGGTACATTTTTCACATTAATGAACCAATATTGATACATTATTATTAACTAAAGTCCATACTTTTTTCTTTAATCTTTACCTAATGTCCTTTTTTCTGTTCCATAATCCCACTCAGGACACCACATTACATTTAGTCATCATGTCTCCTAGGCTTCTCTTGACTGTGACAGTTTCATGACCATGACAATTTTTGGTAATACTGGTCAGGTATTTTGTAGAATGCCTCTCCTGGAATTTGTGTGGCTTTTTCTCATGATTAGACTGGGATTATGGGTTTTTTGGGAAGAAGACCATAGAGGCAAAGTGCCATTCATATCATAACATATCAAGGGTATATGAACTAGAAACATGTTATCACTGTTAATGTTAACATTAATCACCTGGCTCAGGTAGTATTTATCAGGTTTTCCACATAAAATTGCTCTCCCCACCTCACCCCCCTTTTCATGCTGTGTTGTTGTGTTGTTGTTGTGTGCCGTCGAGTCGACCCCGACTCATAGCGACCCCTCCTTGGGTTTCCAAGGCAGTATCACTACAGAAGTAGGATTGCCCAACCTTCCTTCCGAGGAGTGGCTGGTGGGTTTGAACCGCCAGCCTTCTGGTTAGTACTCAAGTGCTTTAGCCACTATGCTACCAGAGCTCCCACTCTTTGGAAATAAGTCACTATGTGTGGTCCACACTTAAGGAGGGGGACGGTTATTCTACCTCCTTGAGGGTGGAGCACATAAATATTTTACCTGTCTACTTTTTGTCATATCTCCTTATGCATCACTGTCTGGAGTCTAAAATACTCAAGAGTGAAGTAAGTTTTTACAGAGTAGTAGCATATTCCACTCTTATTTAAGTATATTTACAAAGAACATTGTAATGGAAGATAGATAATAAAAGTCCTTTACAACTTTTTAATAACCAAATAACTCTTCATCCTCACATAATCCCTGTGAAAATTTACAGTTCCTCTTCTGCTACTTTTGATGTGCTATTTTTGCTTTTAGAAACAAACAACAAATTTCCCCTTTCAGTACTAAAATTAGACTTAATGTTTAGTTTTTCTCCAAAATAGATATTATCCTGTAGAACTCCATCCCAAACAAGCTATGGAGATGCCACTGTGTTGCTGTGATCTTAAAGCCAAAGCAAGCTATTCACTCATTTAAAAGATGTTATGTTGATCTCCTATATACCAAGGCATTATTTAAAATAAACTAGTTTATTAAAAATAAATTATTTATGTAAGTCATAAATTACAATATGCATTTATAAGTGTTTCCTTCTTCTGATATGATCTGCTGTACACAAAATCCCATCCTTAAGTGTCCAATATATTTGCATATGCTACCATTTTCTAACAAGGATGGCAGTGACCTTTTTAAGAATCACTCATATGCTGTCCACCGTTACAGACTGAATATTTTTATCACCTGAGCAATGTCCCTTAGACCTTGCTGTGATGAAAAATTCTGCGTTTGAAAACCGTTCTGTGGTCACTTCCCCTCTGTGCAGTGTAATGTGTGCTTTACTTCTATAAGATGTAGAGGATGTTGGAAAAAGATGTTGGCTGGTACATGTCTATATACTAAGATCTTTGAGTTATTTTTACTATCTTAGCATTGTGGGAGTCCCCCCCCCCAGCTCTGCTTTCTTTACTTACTTTTCTGATCTGGCATATGTATTTTTGTAAGCTGTCTCAGATCTTATTTGGAAGAAGGCAGAGTAGTAGAAAATAAACATACATAAATAGAATGAGTAGTCTTTTGTGAGTAATAGTGAATAACCCAAGCAGTTCCCAGAAGGGAAAACAAAAGTGAGCCAATTGCTTCCTAAAATGAAAAAGTTGAGAAACAATAGAAGACAGACACAGAGTAATCCCTCACAGACATCCCAACACTATGGGAGAGAGATCCAGTAGAGCTACTACCTCAGGACCATAGTACTGGGGTATACCAGACTCAATTGGCACAACAAAATACATAAAAGCGTTGTTCCACATCCTACATTGGGGAGTAGTGACTGGGGTCTTAAAAGCTTTCAAGCAGCCATCTAGGATGCAGCTAATGGTCTCCCAGCATTGGAAGTGAAGAAGAATGCACACACACACACACACATACACACACAAAAAAACCCAACAAGGGCATTTAGAAGCAATTAACCCTAGGACAAGATGGCCCTCAAGACCAGAACCAGAACCGAATGGTGTCCAGCTACAAATGCCAACCACTCAGGAAAGGATCAAATCTGGAGATCCTGGATAGAGTGAGAGGGAAAACGTGGAACAAAATCCAAAAACTCAATAATGACCAGAATTACTGGTCAGATGAAGTCTGGTGAGACTCCCAATACTATGGCCCTGAAATACATTCGGCACCTGGAATAAAACTCACCCCCAGGGGCGGGCTCTCAACCCAATGGTTAGCAAGATGTACCACTCAACCCAGGATGCTGCACCCACACACTCAATGGTAATACATCTCCTGAAACAATAAACAATGGGACACCAAAGGACCAACATTCAAACTGAGGAAATGCAGGACAAACAGGAGTGCATAATTATGAGGGACACACGGGGAGTGTTGCAGGTTAGGGAGGGGACGAGACTGGGTTAGGGTTGGACATGGGGAATGAAACTGAATGTATGCCTGACTTTGAATGTAAAACAAGCTCTTAAAATTAAAAAATAAAATAAAATGAAAAAGTTGAGTTGATAAAAGTGCCAAAATCCTTTTGAACTGTGTTAGAGTCTTCTGAAAATCTGGACAAGACCATTTATCATGTGAAATGAAAAACTCTGGAAGAGAACAAACAACATGAAATAGTACTTAGGATAATGCAGTGAGTTCTCACTGATTGTATTCATTGCTATCATCCCCGAATCTAGACAAAAACGGAAAGTTCTAGATCTTGCTTTGATATAAGACAAGCCTCTTCGAACTTGCTTGTAAATAAGTGATCCAGACTCCCCTCCCCCACCTCCCCATGTGATAATATTACTATCTTCCATTATCCTTCTAAAATAGACATCGTGAGACACTTTACTGGTGTACTATATCCATTCTATCGGGATTCTCGGGTTTGACATTTAAAAGGGGGCTAGAGGCACGGAACCTCAGCCCCGCGGTGAGTAAGTGTCCTTTAAAGCCTCTGCCAGCCAGCGCCGCTCTAACCCCGCGCTAGGGCGGGTCGCCGGCTCCTGCCCGGTTCAATCTGCGCCGACGCGGCGGCTGGATCCCGGGGACTCCCCGCGCCGGGAATCTCCCGCCAGCTGCGCGCAGCGTCCCGGCGACGGCAGGAGCACGTGGAGTGGCCCGGGAGCCAGAGCAGCAGCTGCAGCCCAGCCCAGCCCGGCGGCGACATGGAAGGTGAGCCTCCAGTACGCTTGGAAGGGGTCTTTGAAAAGCTCGGCAGGCGCACGGAGCAGAGAGAGTTCTTTCTGAATCTCGGTTTTGCTTCTATTTATTTCTTTTTGTCAGAAGTAAATACCAGGTATTTCAGAGGGCAAAACTTGTTGGTTCTCACATAGCTCGCATTTGCACCCTCCATCCTCACTCTAACTTTGGAAAGTAATAACTTCTCCCCGGTTTTATTTCTTTGAGGTTGTCAAACATGAGGGTCAACCCTAACTCTGCAGTGGAAGAGCGCTTATGGGGAGTCCTTGAAATGGCAGCAAACCTGGGGTGCAAGAACGAATTCTTTTGGGTGTTTGTTTTCGCGGCCTCAGTGTCCACTGGAATGAGGCTAATCTGAGTTACGTGTTTTGAATGAAGGGTGACTACTCTTTTTCCCCTAAGGGTCAATAGGGAAAGGTACATTTTAAAGTGGGTAGCACTGCAAGTTCCCTTGGAACTCAGTCTAATGACGTTCTTTCCCCGAGGCAAAAATCTGGCTCATATTAGGAGTTTCATTTGAATTAATTTTGAAAGTCATAAAACCATCTTTGATTCTCAGAAAATTTGAGTATGTATTTCCTTGGGATAACTAAAATTTCACACTGGTGGTGTGAACTCTTCAGTAGTCGTTTCAGCAAGTAAAAATCTTGAAGACTGGCAGATGCATCTCAAGTTGGGAGAGGTAGTGGTATTTAGGAAATCAGAATTTGTGTGAAAAATACTCATTCTATTAATAAATTAGATAATAATACTAATCGACTAATTAATATGCTAAGTTTGAAAAATAGTATGGGTGAATATCATTAATATTTTCTTCATTGTGATTGAAGGATCTCTTGTTGCCAAGGAACCTGGATCTTTGGTAGCTTTAGTTACAGAGTACAGTATAAAAAATTTTAAAAATATGATTAAATATTTTGAGAGACTTGATAAATACGGTAAGGCTTTTGCTTCACAGTATAATTGAGTGAAATACTGTAGTTTTAAATCTTCAGTTTGTACGTCGGTATGCTTATAAATATTTTTACCACCTTGGCCTATATAACACTTTTTTCCCTAAGTAAAATGACAAGTGATAAGACAATGAACTGTATGCGCTTGTTAAATAAGAACTTTAAATTGACTATTATTGAGTGATGCTTCAAGTATTTTCTCACATGAAAAACTCTTATGCTTTTCATTTAAAAAAAAAATCAGGGTTTAAGAAATAACTATTAAAAATTTGTGCTTTGAACATTTTATGGAGTGTAATTTTTAACGTGAAGATTTCATTGGCCAAGAACAGGAAAAAAAAATTAAGTTTCTATACACTATGAAAGATAGAATTTTTAACAAAAACTTCTCATACTTTACTATTACAAATCAATTGATGAATTTGTTTTTGTGAAGTTATAAATAAATATTCCAACATTATCTTTTCCTAATTTAACCATATCACTTCTCAAGAATAATGTACAGAATCATGTCCATCCATGGAAATTGGAGTGTTTCTGTGTAAATGTTAACACTACCAAATGCCTTCATTTAATGTGAAATAAACATATTATTAACTAAGTAACATAATTTAGGATACTAATCTCCTAACAAATTTTTAGATAATCCTGGATGAGGATTCCTTGACTTAGAAAGAAATGAAAACTTGGGCACAATTTAATGCAGAATTAGACTTTATAAATGGAAAGAGTGTAGATAGTACGATGATCAGTCGTGAGTTTTGACGATTAGATTAGATTCAAAAATCCATAGAGATAGATGGTACATAGTATGTTTAATGCAGAGATTCCAGTTCAGCTATTCTAATGTTAGGTCCTTGAGGACAGAGTATTTAATATAATAAAATATCTCGTTTATTATAACCACACAAAATTGATGGATCTGGCTCATTTATTTGATATTAAAAATATTTTTAAATGATCTTGATGTTTTGGTCTCAATCTAGAATAATTAGAAATTTGGTTTATATTGTACCTCTCTTGGCAATGCAAGAAAGTTAAAATATGTTATGGAATACATTTGTTTTATTCCTAATTTGTGGTTCAAGTTAATATGCTAGTTTATGGTGAAATGTGAGCCTATCTAGTCAGGCATTCCTTAAACATATAAAGTCATTTGTTTTCATTCATTCATCTTTTCAGACATTATTGAGATTTTTGTATGTGTGAAATTGTTAGATGAAATAGGCTTTTGAAATAGGAATCTTGCAGGGCTTCAAACCATTTCTTCCTGATTCAGTCATGGCTGATGCAGCGAAACCAGAATGGATCCAAATTTGTAAAATGTGGGAGTAATAACTGGAACAGGAAAAAATATAGGTCAACACTCTGCGTGTGCGTTGCATAGCAACCAATCTCTTTAGCAGTGGCCCAGCTCAAAGATAGTGGCCAAGTGCATCCCTTTAAATATGTGTTGCTCTCCGCAGTCCTGGCAATAATCCAGTCTCCTGCATCAGGCTCCGGAAGAGACTCTTTTGAGTCTTCCATTCCAGGACTCGGACCCGCAAATGCTCCCATTCTGGTTTGGTAAACGCACATTTACAAATTTAAATCTGTTCTAATTTATGCTTTAGCCATGACTGAACTAGCTAGAACTGATTGGAAGCCCTGAAATCTTCTCATGCAAAGGTGAAGAGTTAATGCACATAATAAGTCAGAAGCTGTAACTTTTTCTTTTCTCATAATTTGTAACCCTAAATATTTTTGATCCAAAGAGTCGTGTATTGCCAAATTTTATTATTTGTGCTCTAATAGTATCTCTTTTGTCTGGTATGGTTAGGAAATGAGGTGGTTCACAAATATGAATTTCACAGACAATAGCAGATTCCTCAGTTCATGTAAAACCTTTTCATTTGAACATTATTGGATAAGTATCATCCTAAGTATATTTATTACACAGCCCCCTGCTTTATAAACAAAGAATATATGAGATAACTTTATTTTGATGACCCTTGGTCACTATTCTGACTATCAGGTAATATATTGTTCTATAATATATTCTCATAGAAGGGTTTGAACTGTATAGAGCTGCATGTCCCAGTACTAAATATTCCCAGATTGTTGCGCAGTTTTTGTCTCCTTCTTAATGTGAACTTCTGCTTCTCACCACATGGACTCTGTGGTAGCCGTTTTTCATTTTTAGGTCCCTTATGCTCTGGATTGTTGAGATCAACAAAGGTGGAGCCTCCAGCTGGGGGAGTGTTTTGGTTACCCAGTACGGCTGTGACGAGAATATACCACATATGTGGAAAGCTTGAACAAACAAGAGTTTATTCTCTTACA